GCGCGTGACAAGTAAAAAAATTAACTTACCGTAATGATTCGATTTAGCGACTAGGCAGCTTATTTACTTTTGGTGCCTCAACATGCTCAAGGGAGGACGCTTATTCGGAACAGGGCGCTTAATTCTTTTTGAAGAAACAACCAAATAGTGTTCAAAAAAAACCTTTAATATTTATTTAAAAACGAACAATCTGTGACACTGTAACAGTAACGAATACTGCCGGCGGTGAATGCTCAGTTAACGTGAGGGACTTACCTTGAAACTTGTTGGGCATTTGCCGATGGAACTTTCCTTCCTTATATGTAACTTTTCTTAAAAAAGCTCGCAGTGAGAACAAAGTGCAAGTCAATTAAGGTAATGGATCAAGGAGACTGGAAAACGGACTTGTTGTCCCTCGATCCTTCCTCACCAGAACAACCAGCCGAGCAATCGCCACAAAATTTGAAGAAGAGATCATTCCTTTGAAGACTTTATGCACTCACATGGACATAAAGACCACTGTTTTTGTAATGTGGAAATGTCGCTCGTTTGTGAGCTATTAAATGAAGATATGAGTACGCACCCGTACTCTTATATAATAGGGACCTTAAGATCCGACGACGGCGACGGCTACGGGAACGCCACAAAAGCAAAAAGTTTAATTAGCAAAACAACAACTTTGCACGTGCATCACGCTTTTTTGTACGTTTCTTTGCCGTCACTGCACGACTACGACGTGAAAATGCTTAATTTCACGATGTACAGAGGAAGTACACAAGCGACGACGAGATTTCCTCTCTCTTTTTGAACTTGGATATGGTTCTTAGGAATTCAACTTTAGGAGGGGTTGCCTACATTTGACAAAGTTAGTGACTTAGAGTAATCTCGATGAAGATTGAAAGAACGCGAATTCATTTTTTCAGCGACGTTTTCACTGCCTTCACCATCCTCGGATCTTAAGGTCCCTAATATTAGAATGGGAGCGCTTATTAACAAAACACATTTGAAGGGGGCGCTTATTCGAAAGGGGGATCGCTTATTGGAAGGAGGGCGCTAAAACGAATCACTGTTTTGGAGGCCATCTTGACGGTTAAGCAACCGCGTGAAAATATACAGTGTGTGTAGGTAATATATGTGTGTATATATAATATATTTGGCAAAAATACCACGAGTGATATTTCAAAATTGTTATACGTAATTTCACGAGCCGTTAGGAGAGTGAAATTTGAGACAATTTTGAAATATCACGAGTGGTATTTATGCCAAATATCACGAACAAGTCATGCTATTATTTGTTTATACTGCTACCTGCAAAAGGTCTGTAATTTTCACATGTAGGTATTTCAAATTAAGCTGAAATACCACTGCTCTAAACCAATCATATTGCAGAAATTTCTCATGTAGTAGTATAATGTGTGTAATTTTTTCTCGTTCTTGCCGACCAAAATTTCCCTGGAAAAATTGCGGACAAATGTCTGGAAAATCTAAAGCAAGCGACCCTACAAATTTAGGCACAGGTGCGACCCCATTAATTGTTAGTACAATCCTGTCAAGCTTAAGTTTACAAATCTTCTTTTTTTTAGAACAGCCGTTTTATAAAAATTATCCGACATTAGATTCCCGTGATACAAGACCCTTCACCCGTCAAGATGGCTTTCAAAACCGTCATAAGGTCTATAGTGTGGCTTACGGCAGTACGAAAATTGTTTCTTTTATATTTCAAAACAACCGAGTATTCTTTGCCTCTGCTTTTTTGTTAGCCCAGTTCAAATCAAATACAGAATATTCTGTATATTCCGTGTTTTAGAGTATTCCGTATATTCCGTATTTACAATATTCCATGTATTCCGCCATTCCCCCGAATAGGGTCACCCAACGATCGGGGAGGACATCATAAAAAAGAGACAGGAGACCGGTAGGGTTTTTAATTCGATGAAAATGTCTCACTTTTTTTGCAAGTTCATTTTATAAAATGCTTAATAAATTGTTTCCACAATAATATTTACGATATTTAGATAATAACCAATGCACTACGCACAACTTGTCATAAAACATTGGACAGCATACCATGCACTCAAACTCTTGAGCAGGAAAGTTACAGAATGAAATTATTTTTGCTGCACTCAGTCACATTCCTTTACAAGTTCTGAAACCTTGCCTAAAAGGTCTCTTTTTAGATCTCTAGATTTGTAAGGTATTTCGAAATACCCGCAAATGCCTTTCAACATACTAACATTGAAAGATGAAAGCTTGTTGCTATGACGATATTGACAAAGATTGTAAACATCAAATATAGTGTGGATGTTTTAAGCCCAAATTTTCTATCACCTCTTCAAAAGCATGGAGGGGGAAATGGGGGCTTACGGTATTGCGGTATTGAGCTTTTTTTCAAGCGGTATTTCGGTAAATTGGATTTTAAAGTGCGGTATAATCTATGATGAAATTGGTCGAGCATCCTTTTCGATCGTTGTACCGATCAATTCGAGGTCGTCTCACCTTTCCTCGCAATGGCTGAGGTTGATTGCTGGTGCATAAATGCTTGAGATAAACAAACACGCGAGATGGATACAACTTTAAGTAAACGTGACCGAAAATAAATGCGGTATCAGTATTTCGTCGATTTTTGACACGGTATTTCGGTATTTGCCAATTTTTCTTACGGTTTTGCGGTATTGGGTACCCTCTCCAATGCTCCCCCAGCATGGCGTTGCTCTCCAATTTAGGTCCGCTGACCCCTACACGCGCTGACCCGTAACGTCCGTTGGAATACGCCTTATTCCAAAATGGCGACCGCCCGAGACGATCTGGGGAGAGTAGCATGATAACGAGGCATCAACGGCCGGTTCTCTGTTTACAAATGCTAATCGCGCACACGTGAGAAATTCGGAGAAAATGCCTCAAAATTGCTGTGTTCCTGAATGCAAAAAGAAAGTTTATGTAGAAGATGGGGAAAAGATTTCTTACTTTAAGTTTCCTGACCAAGTTAAGGAAAGAGATATGTTCATGAAATGGATAGCCGCCATACGAAGAGATGTCGGCGAACATTTTAAAGTGACCGAGCACACGAAAGTTTGCTCGAGGCATTTTAAGCCGGGAGATATTGTCAAAGCAATTGCAGGTCGTAAGCGTACTTTACTAGCTACCGCAGTGCCGTCTCGATTTCCTTGGAAAAAGGGATCCCCGGTAAAACGTAAGGCACCGAAGAGAAGAAGCCCAATTAAGAGAAAAAGCGCAGCAAAAACCACAACCACGAACGCTGAAGATGTTTCCACGTGCGATGTCAGCATTACAGCACAGAAAAAGGGATCCCTGGTAAAACGTAAGGCACCGACAAGAAGAAGCCCAATTAAGAGAAAAAGCGCAGCAAAAACCACAACCACGAACGCTGAAGATGTTTCCACGTGCGATGTCAGCATTAAAGCACAGAAATCCGAATGTCAGGTTCTTACATCAACCAGCACATATTCCGAGCCTTGTATAGACGACCAAGAATTACAAGATATAAGCCGCGACCTTAAAGTGGAAAACGAACGGCTGGTTCAAGAACTCTGTAAAGTAAAGGTTCGACAAGAAAATTTAGAATCGGAAGTTGAAGAATTGACACGGCGGAACAGTGTTTTACAGGCAAGGGTATTTCATGTAGACCGGTTTGATTCTGATAAAGATGTGGCTTTCTATACTGGATTTCCAAACAGAAGTGTATTTGAAAGTGTTTTTGCATTCCTTGACCCTGGAAGGAATGGGGAGAACATAATTTACTGGCATTCACAATCCGATGAGTCAGACACAGTGAATAACAGGTATGATGAGGATGCCCCCAAACAGGGCAGACCTAGACATTTAACTCCGAAGGATGAATATTTTTTAACCCTTTGCAGACTGAGGCAAGGATTTAAAGAAGATCATTTGGCCCATTTGTATGGAATTTCACAGACAACTGTCAGTAGAGTAATAATTTCATGGATAAATTTTATGTATTTAAAATTTAGCACAATTCCAGTGTGGCCATCAAGGGTTCAAATTGACAAACACATGCCAGCTGATTTTAAAGAGAGATATCCATCAACCAGAGTAATTATTGACTGCACTGAGATCCGCTGTCAGATGCCCAAGAGCATGCGCCTGAACAGTGAACTTTTTAGTTCATATGAAAACCACACAACACTTAAGAGTTTGGTCGGCATATCACCTGGAGGTGCTCTAACTTTTGTTAGCCAGCTCTACACTGGCCACCTCTCTGATAGAGAGATAGTAACAAGATCTGGATTTTTAAAGCTACCATTCAACCGAGGAGATGCTGTCATGGCAGATAAGGGATTTACAGTAGAGGATCTGTTGCCCCTTGGAGTTTCCCTGAATATACCGCCCTTTCTAGGAAGTAAGGGGCAAATGAGCCCTGAGGAAGTGGTAGAGACACAATCGATTGCTGCCCTTCGCATTCATGTGGAAAGGGCAATAAACAAAATTAAAAATTTTCACATATGGGACAGTGTGGTTCCATTCACCAACTTTACGGTTGTAAATCAAATGTGGGCAGTGTGTGCTATGCTCTGTAATTTCCAAAACAGTATTATTAGTGAATAGTTTTTGTTATCCTTTAAAACCGAAAAAAACTGATTTGGAAATAGACTTCTGTCTCCAGTAAAACCTTAGTTTTATACTCCTCTTGCCAATTGTTGTTTTCGTTGATTTACACTTTCGGAATTTTTCAGGGTTATTATGTGCTAATTATTCTGTGATAGCCTCTCCCCTCACCCTTCTCTCACAAAGACACAACTGTAGTCAAGGCATCTCCATGAAGTAGCTAAACAGACAAAACAATTAAATTATATTCTCCTGCTACATGTACTTCATGCCTGTTGCTATAATGACATATGTATTATTGAAAACTAATACAGAAATTCTGTGGAATCTAAATTAAAGTGTTGTCCATATAGTGATTGTAATAATAGTAAATGAGAATGCAACACCACAAACTCAGCCTTGAAAAACTCTTTCGCCTTGTAAAATGTTCTAGTTTTCTACAGAGCAGCTACAGGAAGGAAATATTTAAAGTAGTAATCACACAGTTTCTCGCAGAGGGTATCCCAGTGATCTTGATCAAACTTGATCCTCTCCACACTAAGTCCTTTACTTGTATAAACAATAAAATCGCACCACTGGGCACCAGTTAGTCCCATAAGTCCTTGTACTTGGTCGTAATAGACATGTCCTTTTTTCAATGTGGGTTTTCCATCTTTCTTCTCCATGAAGAAGCCAGGGTCGTCACAAGCATCAAGGGGTGTAACATTAAATTTAGAAGAAGGACATTTCACTTCCCCAATTCCAAAGCTGTCTTTGCAGCTCAAGTCAATGACTTTAGCATCAGGTGAACAACCTAAAATTGGAACTTTAGGTGACACAAACAGACCACTTTTGAGTACCTTAACAGGCTTTCCCACTTTACGCAGATATTTCTCGTACTCTTTTAAGGCCACTGGTTCATATTTTTTGCCATGTTCCAATGCCGCAGCAGAAATCGGTTTTTGCGCCAAAAGATCTTCAACAAACTTCTTATGGTTCCTTTGCCTCCTTGAAATTTTCCCAAAGTTAGATGCTGTAAATCTGTTTTTGCGTTCTTGCATCCATTCCACACACTCCGCCTGCTCTCTTGTCTTTTCTTCTATTTTGTTGGCCTTGATAACATTTACATTAAGACTCCTTAGCAGTTCCTGCTCTTTCTCAGTTAGATTGTCTGGTGGAACTAAAGAGCCATTACATTCATCCAAAGGAAAAGAGGGGTAAGCGGGGAATTCAGTTGCTGTGCAGTGAGCAACCTCTTGAGATCCATCAAACGAGCTTATGTAAGAGAAATTAGACTCTGTGAAGGATAGCTGGTATGATCCATATGATCCAACTGGACATTTTCCAAAGCGAGTGTCCACAGTAGGCAAAGTATCAAGACTAGCAGTGTGGACAACTTGTGTAATACCTATTTTTGAGCTATGCTGCTCAAGAGATTCAATTAAATTTTTAAGTTTTCCATTAGTGTCACTTTCTCCTCTCCTTGCTTCGCTTAGTAGGCAAGTCACCCCAGTCTTCTTGTTTTTATCAGCACTGTTTACTGGATTGGAAATCACTACTTCCATAACAGGCTGGGCATGGATCCCGTCAAGTCTTGATCGGTGCCAGCTCTGCAAGGCAGAAGTACATGCTGTGCTCGGGTTTTCATCTTCTTCATCTCTCAGGTCCCGAACATCCTTACAGTTAAACAATGAGTATTTACATACTTTCATCATGAAAGCCAGGACATGGTTGCAGAATCCTGACTTTCCAGCTGCACAACTTGGCCCACAATATGCATGCTCGACTTCTCCAGAAACAATACAAAGTGCAAGTTTCAATTTATGTGGCTCTTCACGAGTTTTGAAACTGTGAAAACACTTGGCGCGATAATAGAAATACCTTTCATCGTGATAGGTTTGTATGTCATGAAGGTATTCATCAGCAAGAAAACCCTTCGCTTTCCGCAGTCCTGTGGGCAACGTGTGATTATCTGCGCTGTTATTGTGCTTTTTCCCTGATTTGGAAATATGACGATCCATTTCTGCACGGGTAAACAGTGGACTTTTTTCCAGAGACGTTCCCCAGCCATTTGCAGGAAAAGCTACCTTCTTTGTGTTGTGAGGTGGCTCGTCGACCGGAGGTAAGTTTGGATTAGTAGAATTATCCTGACCACCGAGAAGTCGTCTTTTACGCCTGGTATAAATGACATTTTCGTCCGGATCAACAAGGAGGTGGGTAATGTTTGCCTCCAAGTACTCGTTTACCCTGTAAAATAATGGAAATATTTGAGACTCTAGCCATAGCAACGACGCTAAGCTTGTTGTTTGGTCTTGAAACTTACCGCTTACAAATTTGAGCTTTGGTTGACAATCCTTTACACGAATCGCCACGACACTTCAACCAAAACTTTAATTCGGAATTTTTCAATCGATTCGGATTTCTTCCATCCAACGAACTGCCAGGAATATCATCCTCAGTGAAAAACGAAGGACCGTAAACAATGTTGTTCTGAAAGGACGCCATAGTTGTTATGAGCTTGGCGGCCCTTGATGCCTCGTTATCATGCTACTCTCCCCAGATCGTCTCGGGCGGTCGCCATTTTGGAATAAGGCGTATGTATGTAACGAAATACGTGCAGCCCACATTCAAAGCACTTGGAGTGAGGCTGAATTCACCATCATTAATAGGAACAACATAAAACTGTTTCACTTCACGATTTCTGGTGATAGAAAGATTGTTTTTTTACTTATATTTCACGCATTTGTTAGGATTCCGCTCCAGTTTGGGCAGATGAACGCTGTCACGCGACAACATTTCCAAGGTTCAACTCTCCTTAGCAAATGGTAATTTCGAGTTATTTTCTTTTTCTGCGTATCTTTCATTTTCCTTTCTCTTTTAATTCTATATACTTCTACTTAGGATGGTCTCTGAACGCCTAGCAAGGATCAAAGCGGCGTTTACCACGCTATCCACGGCCGTATTGGCAACAGAGAAGTGTTTCGCCGAAGTAGCAAGATAACGGTAAACACGGTAACTTTGAACGCTTTGTACAACGTCAATATACTTTGGCCGAAAAATGTTTTTCCAGAATCGTAATGTATATCCCTCCAATGTCTGATTCATCACTGTGATTGCTTTGAACAGCGTTGGACTTTTGAAAAATAATTATTTTAAAATCAGCTCCAGCGCTCTATCTAATTTAGTATGCAATATTTGAAAATTTATTTTTTATTCACTTCGGCTGTTTTTCGATGTTCATCGAATGATATTGCATTAAAAGGCCTTTTTCTTCATCACTGTGTAGTTTTCTTATTATTTTGCTTTGCGATAGTGATTTCTGAACCGTTTTTAGCGAGGGCTTATTTTAGGCCTGATTTTGCTGCTATCAGACGGAAAAAGTTTGCAGCTCGATATTTTTGGTTTAAAGCGAAACTGAAACAAAAGAAATTCATTTTTGAATAGCATTCGGTAACCTCTACTTGGAGATAAAAATCGGCCGATTTTATTTTTTAGCCGGAAATCATCGGTCGTTTCTTAGGTGCAGGGCCTCTTAATACGTTCGGCTTAAGAGCGGCTCCGCGTAAATATCAACTACACGTGGAAATAGTCAAGAAATGACCTGGCCTCAAACTCAGCCCTATGGGCCCTAGTTACAAAATCGTTGGTTTAAGTTCGATCGAGTGAATAATATTTTTTTAACGAATTTTTTTCTTCCCGAGGCCTAAAATGGGCAAAAATCATGCGAAATTAGAGTCATATTCAGTAACTCGTACATTTTAAAATAAAGTTGGCCACTAAAATATAATGACACTTCGTATTTTTAATATCTTTCCTCTATAATTTTAACTGATTAGTTCGCGATTTGGTCAACAAGAGATTTTATTAAGAAATTTTTAAAGTTGTTGACTCCAAATCGCTTAATCAACCGTCAAAATTTAGCACTTTTTCACGAGCTAAAAAAGCGGATTGGTACAAGGCTTTGAACACCAAGGCTTGTTTAGTCTGAAAGAGCATTCTTTTTTCTTCAAATTAGCGAAATAAAATTTTTGGGTAAGTGAAATCACGAGCGCTGACAAAGCGAAGCAAATGTAAAAAGTTACACTAAAAACGAGCGAAAAAACGTGACCTCTGACCCAGGCTCAACCAAATGCGAATTATGGTAGGCGCCAAACATTTAATTATTCGGTAACTTCTCGAAACAATATTGGTCCGAAATGTATGTAGATTTTTTAAAATAAAGCTGAGTTAAAGTATTAAGTGTCAAAAAGTCCACAAAGTGGTAAAAAATACAACAAAAGTCACGAGTATTAAATCTGTTCCATTTTCTGAATTTTAAGCAGCGATTTATGCGATTTAACGAATTAACAATTTTTAATCCAACGATACCCACCTGAGATTGTGTTAGTTTAAGAGTCCATAGAACGTCTCAGAAGATTCCTCGGGAAGACCCCCAGAAGGAAATGAATGAAGAATTTGAACTTGTAACTGTTACAATTTCACTTGCCGCCACGGCACGAAAACAACTGTCGAACTGCCACAGGCAAACCAGCTTTCAGTGCAGTCATGCAAAGCATGTCACGTCACGTAATTCTGCCCCTACGCACTTGGGAAGGAGGGAAGAAATTCTTCCATGCTGTGCGCTAAAACATTTCTGAAATAAAACTAACTTTGGACTGTATCTTTTGTAACTAGTTAAAGAAAAGAATAACTTTTTCCCCGTTTTTGCTCGATGGGCGCTGTGCACTTCTTTATTTTATCTGCTGTTAATAATTATTGTCTTTCAAGTTCAGAACGTGCATGTATTAGTTAGCAATTGGTGTGTTCGAATTACCGAATGCTGTAGAAAGGATATCAAAGGCACCAAAGCAGTGGCGGATCCAGGAAGATGGTCCGGGGGGGTCCGAACCCCCCCCCCCATCAGACCTGATATTTGTTTGACACTACAATCCTTAAAACGATAGGATTGTATATCACTGTTTAACTGGCTGGACTTTTTAATGAAACGCCTGTTGTACTTTGCCACCAAACTAAATTCCAGGGATATTCAAAAATGTGATTGTCTTTGGGCACCCTCAGTAATCTGTGTATTTTTCGCGCCAACGGCAACTGGCTTTCACAGATTGAGAAACACGTAGTCGTCTCTTCCTTCTCAGTGACTAGTGGAAGGGGGTGTGGGGAAAAGTAATTTGCCACAAAAAAGTTCTACAGTTCTTTCTGAACCAAAATTTGGACCTCTCCCTACCCCAATGAAAAGTTCCTGGATCTCCCCATGCAAAGATTTTACTCTGAGTTCGGAGCTAATCAATCGAAATCAAGGCTTCTGCTGGCGCGTGCAGGTAAATCAATTTTTTTCAAGTTACTTTAAAGGCTCACTTGTAGGACGAAAAACAGTATAATTTTATTTATGTAGTATGAAAATTGTGCCTGATCATGTATCCTAGAGGAAGACACATATTTGTTGCGAGCCTTTCTATAATCATTCGGTTTCCTGTGGTTCGGTGGTTCCTTGTGTTGAAACATCCCGACTAAAAGCCAACAACAGGGAATGAGCTCTTCGCGAGTGACCACATCCGGTTCTCAAAAAAAGATTTGGATAAGTTGAAAGGACAAAATCGAAGGAACTGATCGGCAAAAAGAGAAAAGAAAGCCAGTACAAACAAAATGAAGAATGATATCATTTTTTCCGATATTAGTCGGTTTGCAACACAAACCTTTGTCGACGGTTGATACTGTGGGGTCGTTACCAAAATAGAAAGTACATGAAGTAAAAGTACATACCGTATTTATTCGAATAAGCGCCCAGCCTCGAATAAGCGCCCACCCCTCCCCTTTCCACTCAAACTCAAGTAAGTGACCACAACCAAAACCCACTCCCCTTCCCCCTCACAGCCCGGCAAAAAAACTGAATAAGTACTAATTAGAGACTTCCCCGAAGACGGAGTTTTGTTCAGAGTATTTTACAGAAACCTTGCTTTGTTACATCTTCGCGTTTTGTTATTACCATTTATTGTTTTGTTGCAAAATAAACATACTACACTTTCTGAAAATGATGAAAATGTAATAAGCGCCCAGCCTCGAATAAGGGCCCACCTCTAATAAGCGCCCACTCTCAAGGTCCAAAAATCAGGGCGGTTAATCGAATAAATACGGTAATTATCAACATAATTGGTGATTACAAAGGTGGTCTAATAAACCTGAACTGACTCAAGTAAGGAACTAAAAATAACGACCTGACCATGGTTGATCAAACGACCGATCATTTTTCCAAGCACCGTATGGAACGAGATTTTTGCGTGAGTTTATTTTTACGGATTGGCGATTTTTTGTGTTTTGCGGGAACTAATTTTTGCGATTAGGACAGACTGGCTTTTCTTGCGATTTCAGAAAGTACCCAGTACCCAGCATTGATAATATTTTCATTTTCATTGAGTACGTGCAATAGTGTGCGTCAGTATTTGTTTCTGAAAAAAGAGACCAGTTGTAATTGAACAGACACGATTTCTTAGTACTGTATTCTTGTGCAGTGAATTTAGGTTAGAGAAGACAGCTGTATTTCCTCTGGAGTAAATTGTTGCGGGAAATATTTTTGCGGTAATTTTTATTTGCGGGAGCATATTTTTGCAAAGTACTGACAGTCATAAAATCCTATCACTAAAATTCAGCCGTGAGTGAAATAGTGAAAATGACAAGAAGACAGAGGAGAAAAAATAATAACAGATCATTCCACTGGGTTTAAAATTGTTTAGCCTGATATTTTATGTAAGCGAACGGGAATGACATATTTATTTGTTCATGAGCGATGAATTTTCTTTAAAAGCACGTTTCATAGCAAAAATTTGCCAAAACTTTAACTGAGAGCCATTGCTAGATTCTATGGTATTTTTTCTCGTTTTTTTTTTTTCTAGTTCTGTTTTGTCACATGAACCTTTACGTTGAGATAACCATCCTTAGGCTGTTGTGGACATGTCTCATATTGTCTCAGTCGTGACAGATGAAACCTTATTACACCTGGGTTCAAATGTTATTACGGATGGACCTTTATTACACTTGGGTCCAGTTATTACACTTGTGCCTTCCACAAGTTCGACTGACAAGAAATCCGGATCCCTGAAGCGAATTCGGCCTAAGAGGCAACCAAACATTTAGCCTCCCTTTGTGGCATTTTCTGGGGAGTCATATTTTCCCATATCTCCTCCCTTACCTGAGACCAAGATATGTGTCATTCATACCAGTCTGTAAGTAAAGTTAAGGGAAAATCAGAAAATTGAGGGTAATGTTGTTGAGATTAAAGGAGAAAAAAAACAAAAAATCACACTTTTCGTTTGTGGGGAGGGAGGAATTACGAATCCCCTAAAAACGCCTGCTCATCAAGTCCAAGGCGGAAGAGGCACCTTTGCCCTCAACCGAGGGCAAAAATGAAACAGTCTAAAGCTAATTTTATTTCATAAATGTTTTAGCGAACAGCATGGAAAATTTTTTTCCCTCCTTCCCAAATGTGCGGGGCAGAATTACGTGACGTGACATGCTTTGCATGACTGCACTGAAAGCTGGTTTGCCTGTGGCAG